CTGGTTAAAGTTTACCCTTTTGCAAGAGTGCTCTTACTAATAAATAACTCATTTGTGCTTCAGAGACAAAGCGGAAGGGATTTCAGTCCGGCCGGAATGGTGCTGTCGCAGCCGTGGACCCTGCCCAGGGAACACTGTGGCCCGTGGGCCTGCCGTGCCAGCAGCACCGTAGTGCAGAGCTTCTCTCCTGGGCGTGAGGTGCACACAGCCTCGCTCATCCGTCCCTTTGACTCGGGAGATCATCAGCTTATTATTCCCAGTATATAAAAAGGAGAACCGGGCAAGAGGAGGGGGGAGATGGCGAGGCGGGTGCCAGAGCCCAAGACCACCCTGTACACGGATCTGCTTCATCCACCAGAGCTCGGCTAAAGCAGGTCACGCCTTGAGGAGAGGCGAGTGGGGTTTCAATAAAATGACCGGCAGCGGCTGTAGTGAGCAACGCTGCCGCTGAACACCTGCTGAACTTCTTATACTTGTCACATACATTTCCAGGGATAATCCAGTTTTAAGTATGTCATGCTGTAGTTCCTTCAGCCATAAAGGTATCCCAGAAATGGCAACATTCTCAGATCCAAACTCTATTTACACAGTTTTTCCTCTTGGGGAGCAGGACAAAACTCTTCATGCTACACAGGCCCCAGGATTTTCATTGTCAATAAATACAGCTGGATGATTCGAGATGAACTCTAAAAGCAACACATGTGCTAGGCATTCCCTCTTCTGCCGTCTGGCATGAGTAGTGTGTCCCCACTTAGACTTAAATCTCCCCGAGCGGGCATCCGGTTCCCAGTGGCTGCGCACTGGCGTGGACTTCTAAAGAACAGTTAGTGACCCAGGAGACAAATACTAGGTCTTCTTGCTTCACTGGAGGGTGTGGGAAGAGAATGAGAGAAATGCAGGAGAAGGAAAGAAAGAACGCTTTGCTGATAGCCCAAGACTGGCCCATTGTGCAAGGCCCAGGACAAAAACCACTCTCTTTCACTGCTGCTGTGTACATCCTGTCTACCTGAAGCCACACCAGCCCTTCCCTACAAGGGAGCATTGGAATAAGCCCTGCATTGTTCCCACTTTACCAAGAAATGCTATTTACCTTGTACCTGGGCCAACGGTGTGGCTCTCTGTAGGACAGCTGGTTCCCCAAGCACTTCTAGGACTACCTGGTTCATGTATGAACAATATATTTGCCTCAAAAACACTAACCTCATGGAAACTGTTCACAAAGGGGGAGAGAGGAGGAGGAGAGGAAAAGAGAGATAGTGTTAAATTAGGTCAGAGGCAGGAGGAAAAGACTCAACGGGGAGCGGGGAGTAACTGAGATGTGGCATGCATTAGATATGAAGTGAGGATACTGAAGCCCCAGATTATGTTCCAAGATCTAAATAGAGTATCAATTGAGTTCTCTGTGACTCCTAAAGACACTTAGGTTCTTATAAAAGAGCTTTGCTATGTCATTATACTTTAGAAGTAAAGCCATATATTTTTAAAAATTTATTCTCATTGATTTCAGAGAGGGAGGGAGAGGGAAAGATAGAAACATCAATGATGAGAATCATCGATTGGCTGTCTCCTGCGCCCCATACTGGGGATCAAGCCCGCAAGTTGGGTATATGCCCTAACCGGGAATTGAACCTCGACCTCTTGATTCATGGTCGATGCTCAACCACTGAACCACACCGGCCAGGCAGTAAAGCCATATATATATATATATATTTTAAATATATTTTATTGGTGTGTTGTTTTTTACAGAGAGGAAGAGAGAGGGATAGAGAGTTAGAAACATCGATGAGAGAGAAACATCGATCAGCTGCCTCCTGCACACCTCCCACTGGGGATGTGCCCGCAACCAAGGTACATGCCCTTGACCAAAATCGAACCTGGGACCCCTCGGTCCCTAGGCCGACGCTCTATCCACTGAGCCAAACCAGTCAGGGCAGTAAAGCCATATTTTAAAAATGCTTAATATTCTAATCCATAGGCTAAATTAGTGTACAAGAGAACCAATTTATAGTCACAAGTGAGGATCCAGTGTATGTCACCGTCTCTGCACACTTTTTGGGTAAAGACAAGTGTTTCACAATCTATTTTACATTAATTACTATAAATTCAGCTTATTGTTAGTGAGAATCATTTTTTAAAATTTTGTTGTTTTACATCTTAAAAAAAGTTTTTATTGACTTTTTTTAGAGAGAGGGAGAGGGATAGGAACATCCATGAAAAAGAATTATCGATTGGCTGCCTCCTGCACGCCCCCTACTGGGGATTGAGCCCACAACCCAGGCATGTGCCCTGACTGGGAATTAAACTGGTAACTTCTTGATTCACTGGTTGACACTCTACCAGAGTTACACTGGTGGAGCAGTGAGAATCATTTCTTAGTACATAACCAACCAGAGTTACCAAACTGGTAGTTATCCTTAAATTTAGGCCATCATTTTTCTTGTTCCAAATGCCTTTTTACCTCCTTCAGAGCCTTACCTAACCCATCCACCCTAATCTCTTGTAGTCAGAAGAGTCCTGAGGACACATAGAGTACATATTCTTGTTCGTACCCAAAGTGGAAAAGTGTATCTATTAGATATGTTACATTCCATGTTAGCCAAGGATATGATCCCATACATTCTAAAAGGACGTGTGTGTACATACACACATGTATGTTTCACTGAATAGCTAAAACATTACCAGTAATAGTTTATGTGTGTGTAATCTTCTTTGGTCTACTTATTCTGTACATTTTTTAACAACTCATTTCTGAATGCCAGCTTAGACCTAAATTAAAGCAAACTATTACTTCCAACATTTTGTTATCATGTTTTAAAGTAATTATTTGCTTTACTAAGATGGAAATTCTGGCTGCACCCTCTCACTCTCTGACCCCAGAATGAACACAGCATTTATTTCACAATATTTGTCCAGGACTTTAATATTGAAACAGGGGGCACACCTGCGAATAATTATTTCTCCTGGTGGTGGCCCAGCCAAAACATGTCAAATGAGTACCTGTCCATTCTATCAAGGTATCGAGGGAAAGGGAAGCATGCCATCAAGATAAAGGAACATAAGCTACCACGTTACCATGACAACAAGTCTCCGTATTCACTGTATGTGACCATGTATCAGTGCTGCTTGTGCAAGAGACAAGGCTTTTTGAGCTGGAAGGCAATTTCAAAAGGCAACACCTGTTCCAAACTAGGGCCAAGAATTTACAGCTGCATTTTGAAATATCAACATATGTGTGCTTTAGTTTTGGGATGTTATCCATGTAGGATTTGGGAGTATAAAGAGAACATAAGCAGACAGATGTGCATGAACCACGAGATCCTATTTTGCACTTAAAATCCAGAAAATATTGCTGCTGCATACACTAGGATGTTGAGTGGGCCCACTGAGCACAGTACCTCTAACCCAGTGGTTCTCAACCTTCCTAATGCCGTGACCCTTTAATACAGTTCCTCATGTTGTGGTGACCCCCCAATTTCATTGTTACAAATTGAACATAAAGCATAGTGATTAATCACAAAAAACAGTATGTAATTATATATGTGTTTTCCGATGGTCTTAGGCAACCCTTGTGAAAGGGTCGTTCGACCCCCAAAGGGGTCGCGACCCACAGGTTGAGAACCGCTGCTCTAACCCAAGTAGGATACAGTGGACACTGAGCCCAGGGGAAAGTATCTAAAAATGAGATGGGGTGAGCATCAGGGTCACTAGTTAAGTATATGGAGGACAAACACTGCCCTCTACTGGCAGAGGATAAGGGCTGTATAAACAAGATTTTCCTGTATAGTCACTATATTAAGACATCCAAAAATAAAAGCTTTAAATAAGTTAAAGTTTCCTATCTAGGGACCACAGGAATTTTCAAGTAAGTTTAAGTATTTAATGAGAATTTTTATATCTCACTGAAAAGAATTTTCCTCATTGTCTTTGATGTAAGTCATTGAGCTGGTTCAAGCATGTTACTCAAGAGATGCTGAAGAGCAAAATGCACAAAAGATTATTAGAAACAAGATTCAAGGGACCCATTTATACAAGATAATGGGAGCTGTGACAACTTCAAGCACACAGAACTAACGGCCTGATTCAAACCCTTGGACCATACCTGCCACATCAAAGCACATCCTACCTGAACCAGTTTTTTTTCCCCCCAACCAACGAAATTGGAGGAACAAACATCTGGCCAGTCTCACTGTTGTTAGGAAAACTGACTGAGGTAGTATGTAAATTGCACTTTATGAATTACAAAGCACTGAACAGCCAGTCTTAAATTACTGTATATGTATAGTAATGCTCATGAATAAGAGTTGAGGGAGCTCCAAACGTATTTTACCAAACCTGTTTATCCCCTGGGTTCTGAAATCCTTTAAACAGATTGCATTTCTTCAGCATTGTACTGACACAGAAATCTGGTATGTTAATCATAAAACACCCACATATTATGAGGAAGTGTCTGGTTACATTCTTCCAAAGTCAACTTTCACCTGGGACAAATAACTCTATAAGAAATTAGTCAGAGGGACAAGAGCATGCAAAAAACACTAAATTTCAAAGCTAAGCTTAGTTTATATGTTAAATATTTGCATGACGAGGCAAGAATGTAGTAAATAAGGGGCAAGGCTGGAAAGAATAAAACCCGATTAGCTACATCAGCCCAATTCTAAATAGGACACTCTACCATATTCACCACCTAAGTAGTATTTTATTCTAAAATTGCAATATAATGTAGTTCCTATGGGTACTTAAAATTGAATGCAAATGTTTTGTGAGTATAATTATCCTAAATTAAGAATTTTGCCCTCCACACTTTGTAACCCTTTGACTTGAGACAAGACATGCTTTTCTTGTTACCAGCAAGAGTGATGGTCACTGTTAGAGCCTAAAGAATTCATTCGGGAAGCAGGTTTTCCCCAATAGGCTGGCCTGGGAGCTGATAGGCCCAGGCGATCAGCTCTCTGTCAGTGTATTTGTGTGAGTATTCCAAGAAGTACACAGAGCACATATCTGGGTTATAAAAGCCCTTTTATAAAGCCATTTTTAAACAAAACAAAGTTTACAAAAGAAAAAAAAGATACAGAAAAAGAATAACTTGCTTCATGTCCCAAAAAGAAAAAAAAAAAAAAGTAAAGGGGACAATGCCAACATGCTCAACAATAAAGGGTTCTTTTTCTTATTTTTTAATACAAAATACAAGCAAAGGATACACATACTTAAAACAGAGCTCAGGAGCAGACACGCAGTCCTGGAAACCCTTCCATAAAGAAAGCAGGAATTTGTTTTTTTGTCTATGCAGGTACATACAGAGACTGGGATATGTAAAAATTAAGTATCACAAAAGACCATCACACGTCTACCAATGTATGTTGCATCTATAATTCACGAACAAAATCATGTTCATTTCAACCCCATTTCATTTAAATAAAAAACAACTTTTAAATAAAGTGGTTACATTCAAACTTTAACTTCCTTAGTACCATGCTGCAGATCTCAGCACTGTTAAGGTATTGCAAGAACGCCCAACCCTCTGGTGTCTGATCACATATCTAGCAACATTGCAGTATTAAGAAAGGGATGCCCCGGTCTCAGCCCATGGACTTACAATTAAACACATTTACGCAGGTTCCTCTTTTACCCTTCCTGCTCAGAACGTAAAAGATTAAGGACTAAAATTAAGGAAGACTGGGAATTTTAGAGCTGGCAAATGAAGTCTGAAAGATGAATCAAGGCAAACAATTTCTGAGAACGTGGCTGCTGCTTAACCTGACACGTCTTCAAGTCTTTCCTTAAATCTTACAGGAATTAGGTATTTAAGGTTTGCTGCAACATGGTCATGGTAAACAAACTAAGTAGAGCTCTTATTTACAAATCTTGTAACAAATACTTCTGGAGGGAAAAAAGAATTCACTAATTTCCAGAAGACAACGGTTTAATTGCCAGACATATACACACACTCACACACACACCCACACAATACTTCAGGGGTTTTTATACATGTTATTTAGGGGTAAGCTAAGTACTATACCCACTCCCCATCAAAAAAACAAAGTTTTACCCTCCCCCCCCATAAATCTAGAAAACCCCCCCTTCACCCCTGATGTACAAAGTGTATGCACAATGGTGGCATTCCACCAGCCACACAAAGCATGCTCCAACAGATGTCACCAGTTCAGTCACTCCGTTGGCATGGCAACAGGCAGGTTGAGGGGACTTTTGTCAATAGTGGTTAATACACAGTCAGCACCACTGTGAATTTTGTGAACTAGGCTTTGAAAAAAAAGAAGTGTGACTTAGGGATTTGGGATTCAAAAAGTCATTTTGTATCAAGTTTATCCCAAGACCAAGGGAAAATGGGTTGCAGATTGAAATTTGGCTGCAGATAGCTTGATGTCCCAATATTCAAATAAACTAACACCTTTTCCAAATAAACCCAGCGCCAAGCACAGAGAAAAGGACAATTTTCTAACCTCAAGAGCAACCAGATTTTTAGCTTTTCTCTTTCCCTTGGTAGGAAGCGTGTTATTCGTCTGCTTCAGCATCTACGCCCGAGTGCATGGAGCCCAGAGCCAGGCTCTCCCTTTGCAAACTCCTGAGGTGACGTTCCTGCTTCTCAGCGCAGCCACAGGTGAAGCGGGCACAGAACCATTCGAACTCCCCTTCTTCACAACAGTGACAACGGCCACATGGCCTTTCATAAAGCTTTCTCTGTCGCTCCAGGTGTTAACTTCTGCCCTTGCCTAACACTCTCAAAGCATCTTCTAAACTGGTTTCTTTAAAGAACTATTCCCTTTCTCCAACCAGTACTCTAAAATTCACTTGATACCTGAATGGTCATGGTTAAAAAAAGAAATGTTTTGGGGGAAAAAGTGTCAAGTTCAGTTTAGCTGACCACATATATTCACAAGAGTGTCAAAAACCTTACTGGATTATAACTTCTAATTCCTCTTGATTAGTTACCTATAATAAGAAAAAGCTATTTGAACCAGTACCAAGAATAAGTATTGAATTGAGGATTCAACCTGGGGCAAACAGTTACTGTGGAAAAGAAAAAAGACATTAAACCTCCTTTATGGGAAATCAACTACTAAAAAGATTTCCACTCATTATCTCCCTAAAGGAGGACTCACCCATTAACTTTCCTTTATGGACTCAATAGGGAGTGGAGTGGAGATATGAAAGGCAGGTTTGTGGAAAGCAGGACAAATCTACCATTACTAAAATTAAAATGTATCCTTTGGGTCTAGTCCATTGATTCCAACCTAAGGTGGGGAGGGCTAAAAGCAGCAGCAAGTTACAGATAGACTTAATATGTAAACTACCCATGTCAAGTTGTGTGTGTGTGTGTGTGTGGAGAGAAGTCTAGAAAAAAAAATCTTAAGAACTAGAATGTAGTGTCAGTCAGCATAGCTGCCGAAATCCATGTTTCAGAGGTAAACCTAACAGAGCTAACACAGAGAATTAAGTTAGCACAAACAAGCACCTTCGAGGTTAATGTCCCACTTCCTGAGCACTGCAAACAAGGCCGTGAAAGCTACTGCCATCTCACCACAGGCACGCCAGGGAAAAAGAGGGAGATTAGTCACGGGTGGTGCCAATGGCCAGCCACTATCAGCTTAGAGCTTGTAACCCAGCCTCACATCACATCAAGCCTGACTATTGAGCACCGGTTTCCAGTTCAGACACCACAGCTACCCTCCTATGTGCATGCATGATTTGAGGGGAAGACTAGAGTGTTTTAAATCAATAAAAAGTGGAGAAAAAAAAGGTCATTCAGAGCCTGTCTCTCACCTGGGGACACAGATCCTTTTGTCCAGTCTGTTAGAAATATATATGTTTTTCAATCTCATGAATTAATTTTTAAAAAAGGGATTGCAAACAAAAAGTCCAACCAAATGCACACAAGGAACTTAGAAGACAAAATTACCTCTAAAATATGTGCCTGTATCACATAGATGTTAGTGCAGATTAATATATTAGAGACTGTGTTACATAAAATACCGAGGCTAAAGTTTTAAAAGACCCCCTCCCCACCACTGATTTTCACAAAACATAATCTAAGAAAGCCCAAATGTTACTAGGAATGTAAGACAAAGTTATAAACCCCTAAGTATAGAAGTGCATGGTGGAAACACTGAGAGGTCTCTTGCTAGAAGAACACACACCTTGTTAAAATTGGGTACCTAAACAAACCCACTAAAGCAAACAGAATAACCTTTAGATAACAATCCAACTGCTATTTATATTCAAGCTTTGCATTTTTGGCCAAGTACTAAAATCTTCAAATTCATTCTTTAACACATAGTGCAACAGCGAAGCGACTGTCACTAGGTGGTGTTGTTTTTTTAAATCACAAAGAATACTTCTTAAAGTGTCTTAATAATCAGAGTAAAACTATTCCTTAAATAACCTTTTGTTCTAGGAACATCTGTAAGAAAGCTATGTTGTCCAAGAGTAAAATATGCTGTAATTAAAAGGAAGAAAATTGCATAAGTAAAATATTGAGGAAGCAAATCTAGATAAAAAGGCAGAGGTTAAATTTCACTAATTTTTCAACTTCTCAGCACACTAAGGCCCCTAACCCTTCCTTCCAGAAGCTCATGGTATCAGGATGTGGAGGATGGAACGCACAGGTCTATCTCCTGACTGCTTTCATAAGGCATGTCAAGTCTGTTAACCGCACGTAGGTCTCCTGAACGCATGCTTTCTCTAGCCCTGCGGAACCCCTTACACTCCAAACAAGCAACATGAGCAGTAAGCAGACACACCAGTAAAAAGAAAAAAAAGCAAATTAAACGCGTGGGAGCACCACTTAACACACTCCCATCAAACACAGGACGTGAAGTAGGTGAAGACAGAGCCAGGAGAAATCATGTCCTCCAGCAGGGCTGGTAGGCACTGGGGGTGGGTCTGCAGTGGCATCCTACATGGTAGCAGGAAGCCGAGAGATGCACTTCATACCATGGTTCTATGAAGAAATGGGAAGATAAGTGTATGAAAAAGAAAAGTTCTATCCACAAATAAAAACAGAGCACAGTTCATGGAATCTGAATGCACACACATTTATGGCATAAAAGAATTTCAATTCTGTTTTCATAAAGGAAAAAAAATCTCAAGTCTTTGTGAACAAGTTTCACATTAACCGGTAGTTTATTTGCTTATAACCTAAACATTGTCAGTTTGAGAAGAAATCCACTATGATATATAGATCTTGCCATTTAAATTCTAGGTTTCTTTTTTTTTTTTTTACCCTTGGTAAAAATTTATCCAAGAAACAGGATACATATATATTTTAAAACATGAACCATCGGAGAGTAAAATAGGAAATTAAGCGTGATTTAAGTTTTGGCGCTCCTTGTTTTTTCCTTTTCTTTTTTTAATTCCTTAAAGACGTAGTAGAATAAAAGGATCACTGGCTCTGAATTTGAGATAACAAGTGATGAAATTTAAAAAAAACCCCACACTCTACACAAGGTCAGGTTACCCACTCCCTGCCCTGCCCGCAAGGTAAAAAATACACTTGTATTAGATGACAACTGATTTAAGTCCAAGTAGAGAAAGAAGCAATCATTTTTAACTAAAATCCTTCTATGTTTTTTGATTACTGTTCAACTTGCTACTGTTTAGCAAAAAGCAACATTTCCATAGTGTTCATCTCAAATCTTATTGCTTTACAACTGTGGTATACCATCCTTTAAAAATAAAAAGATGAAGCAGTCAATCCAGTGATTAATTTGACATGGCTTTCATTGAAAAAGGGAGAGAGTAGAGGGTGGTAGAAAAGAAAAGACCAATAGACAAAAAGGTAAATTAAACATACAAAGATTTTCTTTAAAAAAAAAAATTAAAAAAAGAGAAAGTTATTTTCAACAAAAGGGAAAAAAAGCACTGAAAGCCCGTGAGTCAAAGCCATAGCCAAAACCATGTTCTATCTTATGTAGTTTTCTTTTTATGCCCCCCTTTTTTCCTTTTTTTTTTCTTTTCTTTTTTTAAATAAAATCTCTCCCAAACCATCATCACTTTTAATCCTCCCCAGATTGGGCTTCATCTTCGGACCCTTCATCCCCAGACTTCTCGGGTGGAGGGCTGGCAGCGGCTTTCTTCTCTGGAGGGCTTTCCGGCTCCTCATCTTCTTCTTTGGGAGAAGGAGTCTTTTCCTTTGATACCTTTGAAGCTGTGGGGCGACCCACTTTCCCTTTGCCTTTCACGGGACTTGGCGTCACTGAGAAGAAAAACACCAATTTTGGGAAGGGAAGAGAAGAAAATATCTTTATAAAAACTAGCTAGAAACAAGACAATCTACAAGAATAAGATCTATAAAGACAACACTCCCAACTTACTGGTTTCCAATACTTTTACCAGCACTATAATGTTATGTTAGCAGTAATGCTTATAATAAACAGGATACTGTACATCAAGCATGTCAAACTTGCGGGGCTCACAACGAATATTTTTGCGGCCCAGCCAATATAACGGTATGTAAGAAACGTTTTAATAAAAATTCCATAACTTAATTTTTTAATATCCTGTTACACAGGATATTAATAACGAACTACAACGTTTGCTAATGACTGATTACTATAATCATGTTGCATTGATTTCCCTTAGGTGCCTTACGCGCAGGTGCACCATTTCTCTCCACTAATACTAGCAGCAAATATTTTAGCAGCCGACTGCCATGTCATTAGTCTTGGACTGACTTGTTTGGTGTGTGCAATAAGGAAATATTTCGCTTTCGGAGAACAAGAAAAATAGATTTATTTGCATGATGCTTATTAATTTGTGCAGTTATTCAGTGTCTGGTAAGTTAGTGTTCAAGAAAAAATATTAATTTTTATTAAGATGTTCTATCATTTTATGTTAACGATTACTCATTTATTTCAGCTCTTTGTATTCAGCATGGTCTCTATCGAAATAAACCTACACTTCTATGAAAATTGAAGCTTTTTGTTTTTTTGCGGCCCATATAAACTTAAACCTTGTTTATTTGGCCCGTGTTAGCCTTTGAGTTTGATATGCTTGCTGTACATCATCCTTAGTGGCTTGTGAACTAAATGGTGTTTAAAAAGTGGGCTAAGAAGATTATGATTGCCGAAACTGGTTTGGCTCAGTGGATAGAGAGTCGGCCTAGGGACCGAGGGGTCCCAGGTTCGATTTTGGTCAAGGGCATGTACCTGGGTTGCGGGCACATCCCCAGTGGGAGGTGTGCAGAAGGCAGCTGATCGATGTTTCTCTCTCATCGATGTTTCTTAACTCTCTATCCCTCTCCCTTCCTCTCTGTGAAAAATCAATAAAATATATTAAAAAAAAAAAAAAGATTATGATAACCTGAGTAGAAACTGAAGCTATTTAATAACTTTTGATTAAGTCCAGGAATCCCAACAGTAAGAAGTGATGAGTAAAAGGTTTAAAAATCACCAGTTCTATTAGCCAGAATTAAAAAAAAAAGTAAATCTACCCTGGCTGGGGTGGCTCAGTTGGTTCAGAGCTGTCCCATGCATTGAAGGGTTGCTGGTTCGATTCCTGGTCAGGAAGCAGGTGGAAGGCAACCAATCAGGGTTTCTCTCTCAATATTCCCCCCTTTCTCTAAGCATGTCCTCGGGTGAGGATTAAAAAATAACAACAACATTAGAAAACAAAGCAAATGCTCATATTCATATTCTCAACAAAATATAAGTAAAAAAAAAAAAGCAAATTTAGCTTTCTGGTTTAATGATAAACTAGCTCTGATTAGAACATTTGCCAGAAACCGCAAGGCCTCAAGGAACATAAATATGTGGTCAACTGTGGTTTTATTTTGGGAACACAGAGGATGGTGTAGGATCAAAACACAGAACTTAAATGAATTACTGTAGATGTACATTTCCACAATTTCAAGTCTTTACTAGCTGCTGGAGTTGGGATACTGGTGGGAAAAAGGGCAGTAATAGCTGTGTTGACGCAGTATTTCTAACACTGTGCCTGACACATATAGGTCATTCCTAAATCTTGCTTGTGTTCAGCCCTTGTTAAAGAAGAGGGCTAAGCCCAGCCCTCAGTGGCACACCTTAGTGGTTGAGTCTCGACCTATGAACCAGGAGGTCACGGTTCAATTCCCGGTCAGGGCACATGCCCAGGTTGTGGGCTCAGTCCCCAGCAGTGGGAGGCATGCAGGAAGCAGCTGATCAATGATTCTCTCTCATCATTGATGTTTCTCTCTCTCTATCCCTTCCTCTCTGAAGTCAATAATAAATAAATAAATAAATATTAAAAAGAACAGGGCTAAGCCACCAGACTCTTCGAGAGTCTGGAGTCCTTATTAATAAACGACACTTGTAGGAGTAGAAAACAGAATCCTTTCCAAATTCATTTATTCTTAATTAACTATGTGGCCAATGTCAAGCCTTCATGAAGAATTTCTGTAGAGAAAGTTTATTAGCTCATGAAATTTTTCAAAGCAATAATTTAATTTAATTCTGAAGACCTCACCTGTAGCCTTTAGCCTGGGTTTGGGCATTTTCTTTTCTTTTCTCTCAGGTTTGGACTTCTTAACCATCTTTTTGTTTTTCTTTTTTGAACTGCCATAGTCACTATCATCATCGTCTTCCATTAGAAAATCTTCATCGCTGCCGGAATCTTCTGAGAGGAAAGAAGAATTTCAACGTCCAACTTAATGTATATATCCTTCCAAGTGAACAAAGGGAGAGAACGCTAAGAATGACTGGAGGATGGGATCTGGGAGTCAAACACTCTTGGACTCTATTTACAGCTATGCTACCAGTTTGGTTGGAGTTGTCACTGGCCCCATCTGTAAAATGGGTTTAGCACCACATGAGGGATACATGACTGATTTGAAGAGTAGGTTGAAAACAGGAAGGGATAAACTTAATCTGAATGAAAATTGAAGCCATCAAGTAACTTTTGGCAATTATATCATTCCCATACAGATCTGGTGAGACCAGGGAAATGAAACGGAATCAACTTAGTGTGTTTGGTCCAACTATGAATAAATGAAACAAGAAAACTATTCATCTGAGTAACCTGTGAAACATCTGAATTCTGTTATTAACACTTTTTGTCAGGGGAGGAGGTCTACACCCTTCTCCATCAGGCCAAAATGCAAATCTTAATCACAACACCTGCCATGGAACTATTATTCTAACAACTGTTTATTAAGTATTTGAATACAAACAATGGACAGCAGTCATGATAATCTTTGAACCTTTACAAAATCAACAGATATCAAAGACCATCATCTCACCTAACAGTGAGTCATTTAAGGGACTGTTTGTAACATCTAGCATCCCCCCAACCCCCGCCCCAAACGCCAAAATAATCAAGATCACATACTGCAATCATGACCAAAGCAACAAGCCAACGTTACGCACTCTCCTGGAACTGTGCCTCGTCCTCTTCTTCCTGTTCTTCTTCACTGCCCACATCTTCCAGGAGCATCTCTCTCTGTTTAGAAGCTGCTTTAGAGGCTGCCTGCCGTTGCTGGCGCACATTTTTATGATCTTCCTTTTCATCCTCACTGTCCTCTGCAATATCAAAATTATGATGCACTGATCTAAGAGTTGTGTTTGACAACTACCTAAAAAAGCCAATGCAAACTAGCTCTGATTAGGAGAATATCTGCCAGAAAACACAAAGCCCAAAAGAAAATAAATGATTGTGGTCAAGTGTGATTTTATTCTGCGAGCAGAGGATGCTGTAAAGATCAACACGCCTCCCCCGCTCGCCCCCCCACAAACAACAACCTTCACAAGTGACTCTAATAAGCCACCCGGATTGAAAAATCACTATGAGCTCTTCAAAGACGGAAGCATCTTTGTAATGCCAATATTTACAACAATGCCAGGCATTACTATAAAACCACTTACTAAAATGTCCACTAAATAAGTACATAAAAAGAAATACTATTTATTACCTGCTGAGTGAGAATCATCCTTCTTAGTCTTTACATCTTTCTCTTCTGAGTCTTCACTACAAGGGGAAGGAATAAGACATTTAAGTTATTAGATCAAAATCTAAGTGAATATAGATCTCTGGTATCTGACTTAATAACACTGAAGAAAACCTCCTTTATATATAAAATTAAAACAATGCTAAGGAGTTTCCATTATTTCCCTACTTTACAGGGATGCTGGTAAGCACAATTTTTATCTACTTTTGGAAAATACTGTTTCCAAAAACCCAAAGAGAAAAAGGAAAGCATCTCAACACAGGCTGAAAATCTTTCACCTGTAGATAATGCCTAGTTCAAAAAATATTTAATAAAAAAATTCTGTTGTGCCCTAGCCAGTGTGGCTCAGTGGATAGAGCTTGGCCTGTGGACCAAAGGGTCCTGGGTTCAATTCCGATCAAGGGCACGTACCTTGGTTGCAGGCTGCTCCCTGGTCTGGGCCCTGGTTGGGACTCGTGCAAGAGGCAACCAATTGATGTGTTTCTCTTACATCAATGTTTCTCTCTCTTCTACTCTCCTTAAAAATAATGGAAAAATATCCTTGAGTGAGGATTAACAGAAAAACAAAAACAAACAAAAATTCTGTTATTAGAGGAAGAATATAAAAATACAATTTTATATAAATTATAATATGCCTTAATATTTATCTAAAACAAAATATTAACTATATATATTTTTTGCCTCTAATATTTCTATACATCAGAAACATGAGCACATGGGTCTGCCTTGTATCCTGGAGAAAATAAAAGTGAGCTCAAGATCACTTCAAAATAAAATTAAAAATTGCAAAGTACAAAGAGTCCAGGCCAGGTGGCTCAGTTGGTTGGAGCATCGTCCCATACACCCAAAGGTTGTGGGTTCGATTTCTGGCCGGGGCACATACGGAGGCAACTGACTGATGTATTCCCCCCCCCCCTTTTTTTAGCCTTGCCAAAGCAAGGCCTCCAAAAATTAGGTTGCCTCCCCCCAAAAATGGGAGGGAGGGAGGGAGGGAGGGAGGATATGATTGATGTATCTCGATGTTTTCACTTTCTCTGTCCCTTCCCTCTCTCTCTAAAATCAATAAAAAGATATCCTCTGGTGAGGATTTTAAAAGAAGCTCAGTGAAAAGTTTTATAAAACAATTTTAAAGTCACAAAAATGCACATTTTACGTCCTCACAAATTTTAGCTCAGGAATATGGGTTTTAGTGTCCTGTCTTTGTCATTAACTAGTTTTATGATCTCAGGAAAATCACTCAATACCCTACAGTGCTAAAATTTTATGATTCTATGAGAAATTCTGACAAACAAATACAAAAAGTCATACATAAGCTTTCCTTTCTTAAACAGCAGGTCTTGCAAATCTCTTTTGATATTTCCCATAATCTAGACCACATTCAAAAGACAAGCTACCGAACCCAAGATTCCTAAGCAAAGAGAAAAAACAAACATATTTCTTTACTAAAGCAATCTGATCCAAGAACACTAATTCTGAAACCTGTCATTGTTCTATATAAATGTTTTTATGCAAAATAAGCATTTAATCTCCAACTCTATGACAACGATAATTATATCACTTTTCTCTAGTTCTTTTATTATTGAGTTTATAGAAACCATTGATCCTTGAGTCCCATTACAGCAAAGCCAAGTAAAAGCTAAACTTTTACGTAGAGACCAATGGAAAAATCAACATAATATGGTCTGAGGGGCCCTACCCAGTTGGGCTCAGTGGATAGAGTGTTGACTTGTGGACTGAAGGGTCCCGGGTTCAATTCTGGTCAAGGGCACATGCCCAGGTTGTGGGCTCAATCCCCAGTGTGGGGCATGCAGGAGGCAGCCAATCAATGATTCTCTCTCATCATTGATGTTTCTATCTCTCTCTCCTCCCTTCATACATTGATGTTTCTATCTCTCTCTCCTCCCTTCCTCTCTGAAATCAATAAAAAATATAGATATATATATTTTAAAAAATATATATATAGTCCTAGGGAATAAACATATAAGTCATTTGATACAAATGGCAATCAAACCTGTATTTATTTCAACCACTCCTGACATTGGAGAGAATACTAAATGACTACAACAACAAAAATTTAGGCTAGATATTAATTTCATCGAAGGGACATTATAACAGGCTGCAAAAAAGCTCAGCCCTAGCTGGTTTGGCTCAGTGGATAGAGCATTGGCCTGCGGACTGAAGGGTCCTGGGTTTGATTCTGGTCAAGGGCATATGTTGGGGTTACGGGTTCGATCCCCAGTAGTGGTGTGCAGGAGGCAGCCAATCAATGGTTCTCTCTCATCACTTATGTTTCTATCTCTCTCTCTCTCCCTTCCCCTTTGAAATCAATAAAAATGTATTTTAAAAGAAAAAAGCTTATTCCTTTGGAGAAATAGAATCAATATAATAAAAGATAGCTCTAAATTAGGCTGCCATATAAGACAGGATTAGAGAGATATACTATGAAACTATGGAAGACTTGTTTCCCCACAGTGCAACTGTCTTATTTTTCCTCAAAATCAAATTTCTGAAATTCTCCAGAAAAGAAAATATTAGATGTTAGCAATGCAAGCAAACATAAAATACTAGGTAAATGTATATACATAGTATCGTTATTCTTGCAAATTTAGCATCCTGTAAATTCAGAATGGGAAGACTTCTGCCTATGGTTTTATTATAGTGACTTTAGGCTTGACGGTAAATAGCTTCGAATAACTAGGTTAAAAAATAGACTCCGGAGTCCAATAGACATGGTTTCAAAACCTGTTGGTTCAAAAACAAAAACTAAACAAACAAAACCCTCTGTTGGCCCATTTGCTGGGTAACCTTGGACATATCATTGAACCCCGCTTAAGTTAATATTACTTTGCCTAATTAGAGGTGTTGTGAAAATTAAATGATAATAAATATAAATTAGCACATAATAGAGACTAGCACATGACAATCATAAATGGTAGCTATCATCATCACCATCATCAAGGAATTCTTGCCACAGTGAGTATGAGAATGTATGTGTATACTTATAAGAACAGAGGAGAAAACTACAGCATCCTGGTCTCATGAGGCAATTTTAGTTAAAATTACAACTCATCTGAACTCATTTATCAAACTAAGGGAAGGGAAACTGTCCCAAATTATTATATTATCTAAATAAAGGAGGATTATAGACAGTAAAACTCAGCAGACTATATATACTTGAAATTCTGTAAGCTTTAGTTATGATTCTACCAGTGATTTGTGACTGAATGTGAAAGGTCACTCATTCTTTGCTATTACTACAATGAAAATGTCAATACTAACCTTAGGTAACAAATTATATACTTAAAACAATCTTTCTGCTACATTCAGAGGTCTAAACGTAGACATCCCCGGAGACCACATTGGATTCCAGATTGAGTTCAAACAAGCCACATGTCAATGTCTAGACTCAGAAGCCCTGCCTAAGTTAAGATAAAATATGCAAAAATAATATTAAGCGAACCCGTAAGTGCCTTCCCAAAAGAAATGAAGATTCTCCAAATTTAGAGATCAGAAATTACCCTATCAGAGTGGTTGACAGAGTAATCAGGAACAAATTAACAATGCTTCTTGCCAAAAACAAAACAAAACAAAACAAAAAAAAAACAATGCTTTTTACCTATCTTCCTGTGAATTCTTCCCAGATCGCCTTTTATTTTTAGCTTCTCGTGGAGATGATCGAATTTTCTTAGCTGGAGGACCCGAATCTCTTCCATAATCTTCATCTACACAGCATTTTTCAAAAATCAATAAACTATATTATGATTTGTACATGTAGAAATTACCACTGCATTTTCTTAGATAATTATCTCCCATACTATTTAAATAATGAGGGGCAAGATTTTCCAAATAATTATTTTTTCATTAAAAAATAAAATAGCCTGGCAGGTGTGGCTCAGTGGTTGAGCGTAGATCAATGAACCAGAAGTTCACGGTTCATTGAGGGCCCAAACCCTGGTGTGGGCCATGAAGGAGGCAGCTAATCAATGATTCTCTCTCATCATTAATGTTTCTCTCTCTCTCTCCCTTCCTCTCTGAAATCAATTTTAAAAACATACACACACACACATTTTAAAAATAAATAAAATTCTTCTTTCCCAGTCTCACCACCTTATCATTTCCATTTCTGTATATTACCCTCTAGTCCTCATGTGTATGTTTTAATGTATCCTTAGCCAAATATCTCATCATTTGTATATCCTACCCTTTTTATTAAAGATTTTCCCATGTTTCCACACCTTTATATTTATTTGAAAACTATTATAGTAATATAAGCATTTTAAAATGTAAAGAACCCATGATTCTACAATGCTAATACAATTCCTGTTATCAAGTAAATTACTTTTAAATTAAAGTAGTAAGTATAGTATACTCTGGCATTTAAGAAAAATACCTCCAATTTCTTTCTTTTTAAAAAAATTTGATTTTAGCCCAACTGGCATGGCTCAGTGATTGAGTGTTGACCTATGAATCAGGAGGTCACAGTTCTATTCCCAATTAGGGCACATGCAGGGTTGCAGGCTTAATCCCCAGTAGGGGGCGTGCAGGAGGCAGCCAATCAATGATTCTCTTTCATCATTGATGTTTCCATCCCTCCCTCCCTTCCTCTCTGAAATCAATAAAAATATTTTTAAAATTTTGATCTTAGAGAGAGTGGAAGAGAGGGAGAGAGAACCATCGGTTTGTTCTACTTATTTATGCAAAATAACTTCAGTTTCAAAAACCCTATTAAACTAAAGAAAATTACCCCACCTTAAAAGGTGATTATTCCAAATGTGTTTACTACATCATTATACACGGAGCTTCAGCAATTATTAAAAGGTTGGCTACATTATAAATTCCATTATGGAATATCATACAACCATTAATAGGAATTTTTCAAGTAACTTCTAATAACAGGAGGCAGATACTAAGTAGGGGTGGTATAATAAGTAGGGGTGATATGGTAAAGGGAGAGAACCCAAAAATCCCACAGCAAGACCTCAACTAGATTTTTAAAGGGGTCGGTGTGGCTCAGTGGTTGAGCATCGACCCATCAAACAGGTCTCTGGTTCGATTCCTGGTCAGGATACAATGCCTGGGTTGCTGGATCAATCCCCGGCAAGCATGGTTCAATGGCAGGAGGCAGCCGATCAATAATTTTTCTCTCTTATCCATGTCTCTATCTCTCCCTCTTCCTTCCTCTCTCTCAAGTATCAATAAAAACATTTAAGGGAAAAAAGTCAAAACCTTTTTCAACAAATGGTTAAAATGGCCATTTGCTGGCTAATGGATCTTGAGTAATATCTTTGCTTCAGTTTCGTTATCTGCAAAATGGAAATAATAATATATATCCTATTTTAATAGCATTGTTCTGAGGATTAAATTTATAAATGCAAACATTCAGCAAGCATTTAATAACTAGTTAACTGCCATGCATCCAAAAACGCTTTTATCTCGCTTGCGTCTATAGACTCTTATGGCGCACAAAGGCGTAAATGTTAGTATTCCCTCTGAGAGGCTGGATTATTTTTAAAAAACTCTTCCTTATGCATTTTTTAAGTTTTCCCAAAGTGCACATATTATCTTTATAAAGTAAAATTAGATTTAAAAAAAATAGTAAATGCATCTGGAAAACAATAAAATTAGAAACATCTTATTCTTTTTTAAAAATATATTTTTATTGATTTTTTACAGAGAGGAAAGGAGAGGGATAGAGAGAAACATCGATATGAGAGAGAGACAAACATCAATCAGCTGCCTCCTGCACACCTCCCACTGGGGATGTGCCCGCAACCAAGGTACATGCCCTTGACCGGAATCGAACCTGGGACCTTTCAGTCCGCAGGCCGATACTCTATCCACTGAGCCAAACCGGTTAGGGCAGAAACATCATATTCTATAGAAACCTGTTCTGGCTAAGATTTAAGATACACTACTCATTCTATAATGAGTCAGTTCACAAATCAAAGTTGTTTCACAAAATACTCTCATCTTAGTTACTTTATTACACAAAAACGAAAATACTCTCTATTAAAAGGTACAAGTTTAAAATGAGATTATAGCAGGTTACATTAACTAATAAACACTGCATGAGAATTATTGCACACGTAAACTTTGGACTGCAAAACCAAGAAAAAATTATTCAATGTTTACATGAGTAATTTACTAAGGAAAACTTAAAATCCATGCAAGTTCAAGTTTTATTTTGGGTGACACAGATCTTAATGTAATTTAGATACATAAATAGTCTAAATATTAAAAATTAAAAACTTATTCCAAAAGCCTTGTAAAAAGTACATAAACTAGTGATTCTTCCACTACTAGGGTTCAACTCATAATTTATTGAAATCACAAAACTTACCAGCATCATCAGATTCCTGAAACTGTGAATAATCAACGACCTTCCTATTTCTGTAGAAAGAAAAATTCTAATTAAGATAATAAAAATGTAGGACTTTCCAAGATATTAGCATACACATTTCTTTTTCCTAAAACAATTAGAAAAACATTTTTCAACAAACTCCCATCTCATCCAAAAGACTTCATATATATTTTTTGTTTTTATTAATTGATTTTAGAAAGAGAGAGGAAGGGGGTAGGGGAGAGAAACATAGACTTATTGTTCCACTTATTTATATATTCATTGATTGATTTTTTGTATATGTCCTGACCAAGGATTGAACTCAAAACTTGGACATATCAGGACGCTCTAACCAACTGAGCTACCTGGCCAGGACATAAATGTTTTTCTTACTGCTATATACACGTATGTATGTATACCTGATAAACAAGGTTATTAATGAGTTTTTTCAAGATGAAGTGATTTTTAAATACTATAATACAATTACATTATAAGATATAAATCCTAGTGACAGTAAGTTAAGCCTTACGAAGGGGAAGAAAAAAATGGAATCATTCAAGATTCTTATAATCTCAAACAAACCTTAATTTGTATTTCCCTACTTTATATACAGGGTGGGGGAAAGGTAGGTTTACAGTTGTGAATACTCAATACACAGTTTATTATTTACAGTGTATTTACAGTGTATTATTATTTTCCATACAAACAATTGTAAACCAACTTTCATTCCACTCTGTATAAAAGTGTCCATGTAGATATATCCAGATAGCCTGGCTTTCAGAGAGCCTTAGAGGCACTGTAACTAAATGATACTGAACAAGTGAACCGAAAAGATTAAGAGAAACAAACCACCAACACTGAGCAGAGGGTTTTATAATAAAGATTAAGATACCACTTAAATTCAAAGACAGGATGGTCAGAATCCAAGGACTGGTAGAACTACTATATAGTATGCAAAAAAGATAGGCGTAGGAATGAATTCTGAGAACATACTTGGAGTGATGTTCAATGGTATAGACACACGCTTGGCTTTAGAGAAAAAAGAAAGGCTCTTAAGGAATGTTGCCTTCTGTTTTTCTTTATTCTACCAACAATGAACCTTCTCAACTTACTGCCTCAATGGGTCAAGATGCAAAATTTAAAAATATGTTCCAATTACAGTTGAGCCTTTGAAGTGCATGAGTCCACTTATAACATTTTTTATCTTCTAAACAGATGACATAAATTTACAGTATTAATATAGTACAGTGCTGTAAATGTATTTTCTCTTCCTTACTATTTTAATATCTTTCTCTAGCTTACAAAAATCACATGATTATAGCAATAGATGCAGAATAAGCATTTGACAAAATCCAACACCCATTTTTGATAAAAATTCTCAGCAAAGTGGGAATAGAGGGAGCATACCTCAACATAATAAAGGCCATATATGACAAAACTACAGCCAACATCATACTCAATGGGCAAAGCTAAAACCATTTCCTCTAAGAACAGGAACAAGACAGGGATGTGCACTTTCACCACTCTTATTCAACATAGTACCGGAAGTCCTAGCCACAGCAATCAGACAAGAAGAAATAAAAGGCATCCCATAGAAAATGAGGAAATAAAACCCTCATTATTTGCAATGACATAATATTGTACATAGAAAACCCTAAAGACCCCATCAAAAAACTACTAGATTTAATAAATGAATTTGGCAATGTAGTAAGATACAAAATCAACACCCAAAAATCGATGGCTTTTTAATACACCAATAATGAATTCTCAGAAAGAGAAACTAAACAAGCAATCCCATTTATCACTGCAACAAAAAAAGTAAAATACTTAGGAATAAACTTAACCAAGGAAGTAAAAGACTTGTACTCGGAAAATTACAATACAGGACATTGAAAAAAGAGATTGAGGAAGATATAAACAAGGGGAAGAATATACCATGTTCATGGAGAAAATTAACATCATTAAAATGTCCATACCACCCAAAACAATCTATACATTCAATGAAATCCCTAATAAAATACCAACAGCATATTTCACAGATCTAGAACAAATGCTCTAAGTGGTGTTGGGAAAATTGGACAGACGGAAAAAAAATGAAGCTAGACTACACTCAAAATGGATAAAAGACTTAAATGTAAGTTGTGAAACCATAAAAATCCTAGAAGAAACTAAAGGCAGCAAAATCTCAGACATCTCTCATAGCAATATGTTTATAGATACATATTGGGACTACATCAAAATAATAAGCTTCTGCACAACAAAAGAAACCCATCAACAAAACTGTTTGGCTCAGTGGATAGAGCAGCTGCCTGCAGACTGAAGGGTCCCAGGTTCAATTCCAGTCAAGACACATGTCTGGGATTGCAGGCTTGATCCCCAGTAGGGGGCGTGCAGGAGGCAGCCGATCAATGGTTCTCTCTTATCATTGATGTTCCTATCTTTCTCTCCATCTCCCCTCCTCTCTGAAATCAATTTAAAAAAATGCTCAATTAAAAGAAAAACAAAAATGACCGGAGAACTTATTTGGCAATGATACATCTGATAAAGGGTTAATGTCCAAAACATATAAGGAAATGGGCATACAACTTAACAAAAGGAAAGGGTCTAAATAGACTTCTCCAAAGTAGACATACAGATGGCCAAGAGACATACAAAAACTAGAGGCTCAGTGCACAAAATCGTGCATGGGTAGGGTCCCTAGGCCAGTGATGGCGAGCCTATGAATTCATTTTTTTGGTTGATTTTTCTTTGTTAAATGGCCTTTAAATATATAAAATAAATACCAAAAATATAAGTCTTTGTTTTACTATGGTTGCAAATATCAAAAAATTTCTATATGTGACACAGCACCAGAGTTAACCCTTTGCACCCCGCTGTCCCCTCTCAGGGGACATCGGAATTCTAGCATATCACTCGGATGTCCCCTCTCAGGGGACATTGCAGTTTATTACTGATTACGGGGAATTGAGTTATTTCAACGCAACTTTTTGAGACATGCATGTTTCCCTGAAGTTTTATCTTGAAATGGCACAAGAAATTAAATCAAAATATCGTAAAATTACTAAGATATATACAAGAAATGTCAGCGGGTTTTGTGTCGGATTAAACAATAAACTACATATTCCCGATGTGGGACAAAGAAAACGGGACTGCATTGTGTGTTCTAACAGGAAAACACCTGGTGGCAGGCATCAAACCACTTATTACTGTCAAACATGCACTAATCAGCCTGCAATGCATATTGGGGAGTGTTACAAAACTTACCATACTGTACAAAATTATAAACAATAAAATATTGTTTTTTTTGCAAATATACATTCCTCGATGTCACCCAATTCATATAAGTCCAATATCATTATAATACGTTACTTGGTTCCAAAATTATACTAAATAATACGAGGGTCTGTAAATGCACGTTTCCTCCGCAAAGTAGTGTCGAGTAGCTGGTAGCCAATGTCCAGAATGGTTCGGAGTGCAAAGGGTTAAGTTAGGGTTTTTCAAAATGCTGACACGCCGAGCTCAAAAGGTTTGCCATCACTGCCCTAGGCCTAGCCTGCGATCAGGGCCATCTTCTGCCCGCTTGACAGTCCCCAGTCCCACCCCACCGCCACCCACCCCGGTTACCCATGGTTCCCTGTTCGCCATCCAGCGATCGGAGCCTACAGGCCAGGGGGAGGGACCAAGAGGTGGTCAATGCACCTCATAGCAACCGGTCTATCGGTCGTTCTGGTCATTATGCCATTATGGTTGCTGGCCTTTTATAGTATAGGATGCTCAGTCACTGATCATCAGAAAGATGCAAATTAAAACAACAATGAGGTATCACCTCACATCTGTCAGAATGGCTACCATCAACAAATGACAAGTGCTGGTGAGGATGTGGGGAAAAGGGAACCCTGCTAGTGGGAATGCAGACTGGTGCAACCATTATGGAAAACAGTATGGAGTATCCTCAAAAGATTAAATATGATACTGCCATTTGACTCAGTAATCCCACTTCTGGGAATATATTCTAAGAAATCTGAAACATCAATCAGAAAGAATGTATGCACCCCTATGTTCATAGCAGCACAATTTACAATAGCTAAGATCTGGAAACAGCCCAAGTGTCCATCAGTAGGTGAGTGGATAAAGAAGCTATGGTTAAAAAAAAAAATAGCTGTGGTACATTTATATCATGGAATATTATGCAGCAGTAAATAAGAAGGATCTCTTACCCTTCGAGACAACATAGAGAGACCTGGAGAGTATTATGCTAAGCAAAACAAGCCAGTCAGAGAAAGACAAGTATCATGCGATCTCACTCATTATGTGGAATCTAATGAACAAAATAAACTGATGAACAAAATATATCCAGAGACATAGAAGCACAGAGCAGACTGTGGAATCTCAGAGGGAAGGCTGGGAGGGGGGTTGCAGTGATCAACCAAAGAACTTGTATGCATATGTGCACAACCCATGGACACAGATAGAAGCGGTCATGGGAGGGAAAAAGGGGACATATATAATACTTTTAACAATAAAGATTTTTTTTAAAACCACAAAAATAAAATCATTTTTTCAAGCTTAAGCACTCACAAAATCTATCAAAGTTTGGTGGCCAGTGTGTGTGTGGATATGATGCTGCTGCCGTGTGTATTATATGTACTAGGCCAACAGTCGCCAACCTTTCAGACCTCACAGACCACCAGTGGTCTGCAGACCACTGGCTGGCAACTGCTGTACCAGGCTATTGGACTTTAGACAATCTAATTCAACCTTATCCATAACTTATCCTACCAAGGGAATAACTGAGAACCTCCCTTGATCTACCAAGGCTGCCTGTTCTAAAAAAATTCTAATAATGAAACAATTCTCAATGAGGTGGAATCTGTATCTGAAGTCCACTCACCAATTCTATCTTGTCTACCTTCTGAGATTTACCATGGTCTAAATCTAACCCCTCCTCCCTTAAAAAATACATATGACAGTTTCCACTTTTTCCTTCAAGGCTAAATAGTAAGAGTTCCCTTTAACTCTTCCTTACAACATATTTCAAGCATCCTCACAACCTAGTTGCTTTCCTCTACACCACTTCAGATTAAAATCTATGCAAGTAGTGCCCCAATCTAAACATAATAAGATGGTTTTAAAAAGGTGTGTGGAGGAGGGGGAGCAGATCAGAATTATGACCTTACTCTTCCCATTTGTACTAATGCAATCCAAGATCTCAGTTGCCTTTTGGGGCTGTTATATCACACAATGGACTGGATATTGCAATTAAAATGACTAAAACCTCCTTTCCTCAAAATCTAAGACCTTTTTGTATTCCGATACTTCTACATATTTTTCTTTCTCAAATTCATATTATCCACAAACTTAATCAGCATAGGCCTTTTAAGGCATCAGTGGAAGTATTCTTCCAGGTTGATATCAATCTGTGCATTGGCCTTCTCTGGGTATGGCTACTGAGGCCCAAGTCCATCACAGAAAACTATCATTCTGCCCACATTTCTTCATTTTCCCCACAAGGACCTCATGTGAAGCGCTGTCAAAATTCCTGTTGAAAGAGAACCCCATTTTTAATAATATTCTTTTACTCTAATAAAATTTAAAAAAAAATTTTTAAATATATTGTTATTGGTTTCAGAAAGGAAGGGATAGGGAGAGACAGAAACATCAATGATGAGAGTCACTGATTGGCTGCCTCCTGCACGGCCCCTATTGGGGATCAAGCCAGCAACCCGGGTACATGCCCTTGACCTGAATCGAACCCGGGACCCTTCCATCCACAGGCCCATGAACCAAACTGGCTAGGGCGTCTAATAAAATTTTTAAAAAGCAAATGAGGTTGTTTAATGATAGTTAAAACATTTTAGGAATAAACCTTTTTTGTTCAAACAAAATATTCCCAGGAACCACAAAAATTAAACACACAATGTTTAATTTAAATAATTTTAAGAACATAAATTTATCTTATTTAAATTTTCCAACTTATGTTCTGTAAAGATAGGTTTCCTAAAGGCTTCCTGGTCAGATCAATTTAGATATTATCACCTTCGTTTAAGAAGGTTTAAATGTTTAAATGTTCAAACTTTGAAAGATTTGCATTAAAGAAACATACTAAATTACCTATGTTGTAAAAACAAAATTTGAATCAAATGCCTGAGATATCCCTGAAAGCGAAAAACACTGATCTATGAGACTCGTTTTTTTTGTGAACCAATGTTGACTTTTACCAATCATTACAACAGCAGTTACTATGTGCCAGATATTTCACCTAAATTCTCATTTAAGAGCGCTTTCCCCCTGGGAGCATACCTACCCCCATCCTTTCAACCTCTTCTTGCCCCCAGGCTCATTACCTTTGCCTTTCTCTCTCCTAAGCTCCATGGGCCCTTATTCTGCTTCTGTAACTTGTTTCCTGAGCCTACAATGCCCATCTGGCTCACTTCTACTACCTACCTCTGTAACTTTTAAAATAAACTTAAAATCCTAACTTAATTCTCACAACAATCTCCCGAGGAGCTAATTAATATCAATTTAATTTTATCTGAAGAACCTAAAGCTCAGAAAGGCTAAGTAGCATGACTACAGCACAAGCCTCAAAATGGTAGTCAATTTTCCAACTCTAAACCCCACAGGGTACTGATGATACTTGCTGCCTCTCAAAACTTCCTATACATTCACACAAATCTAACTACCCTATAGAACTGATGTCACTGAAGTTTCTGCATATTAACTACTAGAGGCCTGGTGCACAACCCTCGGCCTGGCCTGTGCCCTCTTGCAACCCAGGACCCCTCAGGGGATGTCGGACTGCTGGTTTTGGTCCAATCCCCACAGGCCAGGCCGAGGGACCCCCCCCCCAACCGGTGCACAAATCCATGCACTGGGCCTCTAGTATGCATATAAGATCTTTGGTTAATCTCTTCCCACCCTCCCCCCTCCCCTCTGAGATTCATCAGTCTGTTCCATGTTACTATGCCTGTGCATTGAGAATCTGCTCTCTGGTGGTCAGTGTGCGTCATAGCTACTGAACAGTCAAAGGGTCGCTTAGGCTTTTATATAGATTCCCCCCCTCTTTAAAACTTAGGACATTTATCTTTCTCCATTCTTCTATCCCTCAAAGATTACTCATATGCCAAATATTTTCAGCATATAAGAATACTACAGGCCCAGTGCACAAAAATTCATGCACTGGAAGGGGGGGGGGGGAGTGGCCCTCAGCCTGGCCTGCCCCCTCTCTCTCACAGTCCGGGAGCCCTCAGGGGTGGGAGGCGACCTGGCGATCAGGGGAAGGCGATGCCCCATCACACCTCTGCTGTTGCCACTGCCGGCAGAGCAAGCCTTGGCTGGCCCTGGGCGGCTGGGCAGCCGCCATCCGAGGTTTGCCCACACCTTGGGCAAGCCCTGGGGGGCTGAGGGGACTCCGGAGGCAGGCGCGGCAAGGCCGGGCTGAGGGAACTGGGCGCTGCCATCATCTTTGAGGGCGTGACAGTCAATTAGCATATTCCCTCATTGGCTGTGGGAGTCACCATCTTTGTGATGGTATGACAGCCAATTAGCATATTCCCTTTTTATTAGATTGGATTATTTCATAGAAGCCAGGATACTTGAACTGAATTCAGGGTAATTTCTTGCAAATGCTTCATTTATTTTGGGCTTTAAGTTCCTTTTGGCTATGATATATTGTTCTCACTGCATCTCATATAATTTGTTATTTACTATTAAACAAAATTTAAAAACAGTCACAGGATATAAAGCAAAAAGTAAAACATATTAAGCAACAACAAAAAAATTATAGCAAAGAGCTCCTATAAGTTTTCAAATGGAAAAATCAAGTTTCTATTTTCTGCAGAAAAGGGAACAGAGTAAAGTTCTGAATGATGAACTAGGCACATCTGTTTATTAAATAATTGTCCAAATCCCTTACTAAACCTTCTTTTAAAAATCAACATAATGTCTTAGTCCAGATGAATAAATATTAACTCTTGTACAGCACCCCTTATTTCCAAAATAATCAAATTATCTCCGTATAAGAAAATATATTGTTAATATATATTTTTTTATTTCAGAGAGAAAGGGAGAGGGAGAGATAGAAACATCAGTGATGGGAGAGAATCACTGATTAGCTGCCTCCTACTGGGGACTGTGCCCAAAACCTGGGCATGTGCCCTAACAGGGAATCATCGAACCTACTGGTTCATAGGTCCACACTCAACCGCTAAACCACATGGGCCTGGCAGGAAAATGTTCTAAGTCATACAAATTTCAGTGAGCATGAGATCAAGTATTACATAAGTAAAGTGGGCTAGATTTTTACCAACAGAAGTTTAGTGCAAACCATATACAATTAGGGACAGAGAAACCTCAAGCAAATGAAACTGAAGGGGTACCAGATGTGCACATTACCAAGCAGAGGCCTGTGTAGTAGAGAGGGTGTCTGAAACCTCAGTGGAATATTTCCCGTTGTATTAACCCTATCCCCAGGGACAAATCTGTAGCTCTACAAAGTCAGGTTTATTGACTCATACAATGAAGGCAATGACATCAAGTGTGGAGCATCTCACCAAACTGGGAAAATAACAGGATTTAGGGAAAAGTAGAATTTAGGTGAAATTTAAATGAAGCAGTGCTTTGATAGGCCCAATAGGACAATAGGACTGTGTGTAAAGGGGTTAAGATTAAGTCTGGACTGCAAAGTGGACCACTCATCGTATTTGTAAGCAAGTTAAGGTAGATGTGGCCTGTGTGTCCAGAAACCCCTCCTCTGAAGCTCTGAAGTTGTAAATTGTGGCTGGTTCTCCATGTCAAAAGGACTTTGCTCTTTCTGACAAATGTGTGATGTTTCATTCTTATTGATCTAATTTCAATCAGACAAGTTCCTGATAGTCTCTGATTTTAGAGAATCATTATAAATCTTTATAGATGCAGCATGTCTGTGGAATTCAGAGAGCTGTGTCTATTATCCTGACCCAATGAAAAGCAGGTGGATTTTTACTTCTCAGTAAAGCTAATTTTTAGTTTCTCAAGCAGTTCATCTTCTGGGTCATTTTGTCTTGAGAGGTGAAACCCTTGTTTAGCAGGTAACTGAACAGGTGCACAATTTAAAAAATAGATATGCACTAAAAAGCATCTGAAAATGTTATACCCAGTTGAAACACTTTTGGCAACCTGTGGTCTCCTCAACCTAAGTATTCCAAAGGCCTATGATTATGGCTATTTATGTAGTAGTTATTTAAAAGCATGGCAATGCAATTCTTGAAACAATCAGTTCCACTTTCTAGGATCTATATAGTAATACATTTTTAAAGACAAAACAAAGGGATGCCCCAGTTTCACCAAAGTAGTCCTGTGGTAAATATTTTCTTCTATTTTGTACAACATAGCAGTCGCCTAAATTAAGATTCGATCTCTAGTCTCAACAATCCAAGAAGATACTTCTTCATCTAGTAATGAGTCACATTTATTTACTTATTTATTTACAGTTAAAACTTTAAAAAAACAAATAGAACTAACACTTCACAGCATTCTCAGTAACTTCTTTGTTATTAAGTTCAAGCAACCAATTTTGCAATGCAACCCATCTGGACATGCAGACTCTAAATCTTATTAACTCCAGAAGGGCACCACTCACATGGACTATAATGTAGATGTAATATGGATGATGTCGCGGAGATACACAATATGGCGGCCTAGTTTTTATTTCTGGAAGTAAATAAAACCAATCTCCCTTCATTCAAAATTACTTTCTCTTCATACTAGTTTTTAGACCTGAAAGAAACCTATGAGACAAAGTTTAAAAATTATAAAATGCTTTGTAAATGCAAGGTGCTAGTATTCAAATGGAGTTCACCATTTCCATTATATAAACCTAAGCAGAGGTTGGATTTCTTTTGCTGTACCATGTTACTTTCCCACAACAGTTCCACTGCTAATTGATTTAAAACACTAAAAATGCAACAACTTACCTTACTTTATAACTTTTGTCAAGCTCAAACAATTCCATTTTTAATCTTAATTTTCTTCTAATTATAATGTACTAATGGGTGTTATAGGTGTTGAATCTTTTCAAATGCCATAGTTTTTCTCGTTTAGTCTTTTTTTTATGATGAATCTGAAAGATTTTAAGTTTTATTCCTGGGACAAATACTAATTAATCATATATATTTTAATACACATTGTATTCAGTTAGCTAATATCCTGTTTGGCATTTTTGCACCTATACTTACACTAAAATGAACCCATTCATTGTCTTAGCATATTCTTTAGGTGGATTTGGAATCTATTCACTTTAGTCACGAGGAAATGTCCTTGTATTATAAAATGTATAAACTTAAAGCAATACCACTTACCTAACATTCACATTTCTTCCTACAAAAGCTTCACACTACACTTCACATTTCCCTCTACATTCAGGTATCTTTCTTTAATCCCTTCACATATTCTTCCACTCCTTCCAAAACAACTGTCTTTTTCTCCACTGCCCTCCCTCCCCCCAAACTCACTTAATTTTTTTAAAATATATTTTTATTGATTTCTGAAGAGATAGAAACATGGATGAGAAACATTGATTGGCTGTCTCCTGCACACCTCCCAATGGATTAAGCCCACAACCTAGACATGTGCCCTGTCCAGGAATCAAACCAGAGGCCTCTAGGTGCATGGGTTAAGCACACAGGCCACCCCTCCCACCCCCCAGCTCACTTTTTAAAAAAATATATTTTATTGATTTTTTTACAGAGAGGAAGGGAGAGGGATAGAGAGTTAGAAACATCGATGAGAGAGAAACATCGATCAGCTGCCTCCTGCACACTCCCTACTGGGGATGTGTCCGCAACCAAGGCACATGCCCTTGACCGGAATCGAACCCGGGACCCTTGAGTCTGCAGGCCGATGCTCTATCCAGTGAGCCAAACCGGCTAGGGCCCAGCTCACTTTTAAAGTTGGTCTTCCCTACAAAAGTCCTATTATGAACTGTAACCCCCTCCAGAGACAGCAAAGTGCACTACTATCATGAAAAGAGTAACGCTTCATGGCAGTATCTCACAGGAAAGACCATATGGCTTTGGGTTGGCCACACTTGGGATTTGAATTCCTCCTTCACTTAGTAATAGTTAGGTGAACTGGACCTGTCACTTAATTTCGTTAAGCCTCAGTTACCTCACATATGAAATGGAGATAATATACCAGTATACCATGCCTTAAGAGTTATTTCAAGATTTTGAAATATGTTAACGTACCTGGCAGAGTATTTTGGTAAACCGGATTTGACTTAAACAATGAGGTCATGAGTTCAATTCGGTCAGGGCACATGCCTGGTTGCAGGCTTGATCCCCGGTAGGGGGCATGCAGGAGGCAGTCGATAGATATTTCACTCTCACATTAATGTTTCTCCCTCTTCCTCTCTCTCTCTAAAAATGAAAAACAAAAACACAACACGGGCACATTTTCTGTAAAATATTTTCTATAAAGAATAAAAAAACCTATGCATGCAGAAAATTCTTGCCACTGAAGAGATTACTAAACTTAAAAAGTCTATCTTCATGCCAAATACTAGGAAGGAAAAACTGGTACCATGGAAAGAAGGCCAGGTTTGCATTCAGAAAACTTGAGTTCAAATCTTGGCCATGCTTTTAATAGTTCTATGACCTCAAGTAACATAATCTTTAAGCTTATTTCATCATCTGTTATGTAGGAATTTTTAAAAAAATCCTACCATACAGGGTTGTAATGAGGATAAAACAAGTTAGAGTGAAAGCCTCTAGTAAAGTGACTCTATTTTCAGTAAACTACTTTGAAATGTTGAACAATTAACTCCCCCTATTATTCAGGCTTTGTCAATTATGTGAGTAATTTTTGAAAGTAAAGTCTACAGAAGAGTTTACATCTTCTTAGAGCAGCGGTTCTCAACCTGTGGGTCGCGACCCCTTTGGCAGTCGAACGACCCTTTCACAGGGGTCGCCTAAGACCATCCTGCATATCATATATTTACATTACTATTCATAACAGTAGCAACATTACAGTTATGAAGTAGCAATGAAAATAATTTTATGGTTGGGTCACAACATGAGGAACTGTATTTAAAGGGCCAGAAGGTTGAGAACCACTGTCTTAGAGGAAAATGATATGTAAATAGTAATAAAATGTACAGATCCAAGGTTAGCCGCCCCCCCCCCCAATCTGGATGTAGAGAATAAGAGATATAAGGAACCAGTCTAAACCACATTTATTAGGCTACTAAACTTTTCATGTCTTCCTGTGCATACTTGGTATCATAAATCCCAAGCTATCAGGAATTTCCAGTTTACCCTTTAACTTTTTGAAACTAATATTCTGGTGAGTATCAATTTTTAGAATCTAGACATATCTCAAACAGAATTTCCTTGGAAAAGAAATCTGGAATCTTGGGAAAGCTGTTAATTCTCAGCATAATTATAAACATAAAAGTTATTTTATATTAATCTGCAAGAGCCTATAATTTCACATATAAACTTTCAATGTTAAAGGTTCCCTGCAATCTGAAGTATTAAACCAGTGGTCAGCAAACTGCGGTCCCTTGAGTGTGGCTCTTCCACAAAATACCACGTGCGGGCGCACACGTACAGTGCGATTGAAACTTCGTGGCCACACTCAAGGGGCCAAAGAGCCGCATGTGGCTCGCGAGCCGCAGTTTGCCGACCACTGTACTAAACAAAAAACAAGATATCGCCCTGGCCTGTGTGGCTCAGTTGGTTGGAGCATCGTCAGGTACACAAAAAGGTGGCGGGTTCGATTACCAGTCAGGGCACATACCCAGTTTGTGGGTTCCATCCCTGGTTGGGATGCAACGGATCGATGTTTCACTCTCTCTTCCTAAAAGTCAATTAAAAAAAAAAAAAGACAAGATATCAAGTACACTTGCCCTACAAAGAAAGGAGCAAATAAATTGATCTGAGTAACTTGGATCATGTACAAACTGGGAGGAGAGGAGATCTCTGGAGAATATAACAAGCTGAATTTCAAGAAACCTGGTTTCTAGTCTGAGCAAGTCGTAAATCTCTCTGAACTTTCTCATCTTTTACAAGCAATAGCATTTTTCTTCCTCCCTCACAGTTAGGAGTCATGGAAGCACTTTGAAAAGTTAAGTTCCATACAGCTCTAGCTGGTTTGGCTCAATGGATAGAGCATCAGCCTGTGGATTGAAGGGTCCCAGGTTCCATTCTGGTCAAGGGCACATGCCTGGGTTGCAGGCTCAGTCCCCAGTAGGGGGCGTGCAGGAGACAGCCAATCAGTGATTCTCTCTAATCACTGATGTTTCTATCTCTCCCTCTCTGAAGTCAGTAAGAAAAATATATATTCAAAAAAAGTTCCATACACTACAATTTTGTCAATATTTACCAGGAAGAAGGTGATAAAGTGATAACTATACAGAAAGGGGGAGGGGAAGGATGAGCAAGACTGAATGAGAAATCTAGGTTCTACTAGACCCAATCTGGCACCCACTAGTGTGTGATACAAGGCACTTCATTTGTTCAGGTTCCCATTAAGTCCCTTGAAAAATAAATTAGCTTAAATTTTTTTCTAACTCCAAGACTAATTTTATGTTATAAATTTGAATCCAAGGCCTAAAATATTTGCGCTCATTTATATATGAGTCAGACACTGTAAAAGGTAAGGATAATAATACTATATGTTACACACATCTGTGGAAATCCCTGCTGTAGCTTATTCCCATTTGAAAACTAGTGAAAGCAGCTATTAATAAATCTTCTTTAAATGCTTAGGTTAATGTGAAAATGAATAATATTTACAGTATTCTGAAAACCAAATAAACCTCAAAATTACATATAGGCCTAAGGGAAGAAACATACTCCAAAACAAGATGTGCTGATACTATTATTTCCCAAAATGATTTTTTCTGTTTTTAAACAAGGCTGATTATTCTAAATCAATGTCGACTATTAATTTTTTATTAAATGCCCACAGGTACATAGATCTTCAATTACACCTTGAAGCAAAAGCACTTCCCTAAGAGGACTTTTTAAATTGCAAGTTTAACCAACCACCAAATTCATGTTTAGTTATTTCTGCTTTATTATTGGTCTTGAGTATATTAAAGATTTCAAAAAATAGTTAGAGACTATCACTAAAATATATAATAAAAAACCAAGTTGCTTTGAAATAATTTTAAAGTGATCCCAAAAAAGCCCACAATATATTAACTTCATGCGTCATTTAGGAGCAAATACAGAGTTAAAATTATTTTTAACACATACTGAGCAAGAAAAAGGTTGTGCAGAAATCCCAATGCCTCCAAAAAACTTATAGAGCATGATTAATATATTTGTCTCCACCTGGTGATATTAAAAATCCAGTTTTCAAGTAAAATAAAGTTCTGCTTGTGTTCCAGTATTTAAATCTGGAAACACATTCAGGCATATAGAGAACGTCACATTAAACCCATCAAAGCCTAGGTGGACTTAAGGTTAAAAAGCAGAGAAAAAAATACGGTACAATTCACCACACAGTAATTACTTGAGGAAGACAGAAGGTCCAACGCAGATGAAACAAATATTGATCATCTATTTGACCTGATCCTCAAGAAAATATTCTACATAAATGGATGGGATACATAGGTAAGTTTTATGCCAAAAAAAGGTATGCATACGGTAACCTGAAATACCTATTCAGACTCCTTGCAAAAAGTTGGCTAAACTCTTCCCGGTGGTGATGGCGAGTTATCAGAGACGGGGGTTGAAATGAGAAGGCAGAAAAGCGAGTCAGGTAGTTGGAACTCGCCCCGCGCCCATCCCGAGCGCGGGGCACGCAGGGCCACACCACCACCCGCTGGAGACGGACGGCCTAGTCGGGAAACAGGACCGAGGAGAACAAACCCCGGTCCAGGGGTTGCAAACGTCTTCACAGCGCCAGGTCGGAGCACTTCCGTTTCTCCCAACACTTGGAAGAGGGGAAGCAACTCTTACACACGTTAAAACCATACCTTTACGTACTTATCCAGAAAACACTATGCCAAGTAGCCAA